GCACAAATTTGTTATCTCATCTTCTAGTTCCGTCTCCAATGAATCCAATGCGGAATCCGCCCAAAATGCCTTTTGGAGTCTCTTTTTGTCTTTTCTAAACTTGGATTTCTCCTCACTCTTTTCCTTGATTGTGTGCATTTAAGTGTAGGGCAATCTGCTTTCACATGTCCTGCCTTCCTGCATTCATAACAAACCACATCAGAAGATCATTTAAGATATTTATAATCCTTATATTTTCTCCAACTTTTATGATGCTTGTGCTTCTTCCTTAGAAAGCTTTTGAATTGCCTTGTGATTAAGACAAAGTCATCGCTTTCAGACCCAAAAGAGTGAGAGTCCGATTTGTGTGCCTTCAGTGCCACTATTTTCTCTTTATTTTTCTCTCCTGCATCAAGATTTTTTTGATTCACCCCTTGCTCGTAAGCAATGAGTGAGCCAAGTAAGTTATCAATCGAATAAGTATTTAAATCCTTAGATTCAGTGATTGCAGTGATTTTAGCATCAAAAGATGAAGGCAACCATGTTAAAATCTTGTTCACTTTTTCATAGTTTGAAAGTTCTTTTCCTAAGGCATGCAAAGAAGTTACAATTTCAGTGAACCGTGTATACATATCAGAAATTGATTCAGAAGATTTCATACGAAAAAGTTTGTAGTCATGCAAGAGAATATTCAAACGAGATTGTTTTACTTCATTGGTTCCTTCATAAGTAATGCACAACCTATCCCAAATCCCTTTTCTAGTAGAGCAAGTAGAAACATGCATGTAACCCTCAGACTTTAAAGCACATAAAAAATAGTTCAAACACTTCGCATTCAATTGAGCAAAATCTCTTTCATCGATAGTCCATTCAGTAAAAGCAACTTTAGTTTTAATTCTGGTAATTTCACAAAAAGGTGGAGAATATCCTGCTTTTATAAGCATCCACATGCGATAGTCTATTAATTGCAAAAAGGTTGACATGCAAGTTTTCCAAAAATCAAAAGGGAGGTTATCAAAAAAGGGAGGTCATGTAATAGAATATCATTCAATTGTATTACGATTCCCAAAGTTAGCCATGGATAAAAAATTCAAAAAGTTTTCAAACTTTGTTTTTATGAATCCCGCTCAGATACCACTTTAAAGTTCATTGGGGATGTTAAGCCGTATGAACTAGTCTCGAGGCTAACCAAGAGGGGGGTGAATTGGTATTTTTTAAAAATTCTTTAAAACCAAGAACAAATATCACAAACCAAAATCACCACGAAAAAATAAGTGCGGAAAATTAAAGTGCGAAAGTAGTAAAAAGAACACAAGGGTTTATAGTGGTTCGGTCAACTTGTCCTACGTCCACTCCCCGGAGGCATCCTCCGAGTATTGCACTACCAACGTGACTCTCCTTTAGCCCCCACAGTTAGGCGGAGAAGCACTTACAAAATACCTCCTTTTTGCCACACCCTTCAAGGAAAAGAACCCAACTCCTTTTGCTTCCTCCTGAAGCAGGCAGAGAACCTCGATCGATTGTTGAAGCTTACCTCTCCTAACCCTTCAAAGGATAAGAGACTCTAGGGAAGAAGAAGTGAAACAATACTTGGAGGAACCCTTTTGAACTCCCTCATAAGCTCCCCCTCACAAGATCCTCTCTCTCTCTCTCTCTCTCTCTCTCTCTCTCTCTCTCCTTTAGGTTTTCTCAGGTCAAGAGAGCAGTCAAAGATGTTCAAAAAATGTTTAAAAAGAGCTCTTAAATAGAAGAACTTCAAAGGAGCTCAATAATTGCAAGTTGCCGACTTTATCATCCAGAACGATAATAATATCGTCATGTACGATTAGTTCAAAACACAGATGATCGGCCAGAACATCGCCCTGAAGATGATCTGGACGATTGAAAATTGGCTTGATCATCTAGGCAGATCTCACGATCGTCCCGGACGATTAGTTCAAATCAGAGAAGCATCGTCCAGAGCATCGCCCTGAATTCGAGTCCAGGAGTAACTAAGGGTTTTTGAATAGATTGTCCTTATCGATCCTGCGATCGTTCGGGACTATGTGATCGTATCAATCATCCTTAATTACTTCCTTGATTCATGGATCAATTTAGGCATAATTGTGTAATATCATCCAGGTCGATCTCACGATTGTCCTGACCGATTGCCAAAAATACAGAATACCTAAATTGATTATGGCAGCTATTTCTTTCTATTTTGAGCATATCGTCATGTCCGATAAATGTATTGTCCAGGACGATCAGTTAATTATGGCTGCCTTAACTAAGAAATCCTGATTAGAACTTTTGTTTTGAACTCGATTGTCCATGACGATGTAAATATTGTCCGGGACGATGTGAGTTAAAACATAATTTATAAATCTCTCAAGTGTGTGTATGTAGAGTTACTAAACATTAGTCACTTAAAACATTTACAATTGACTCAAGAAAGAGCAAAAAGAAGATTACAGACTGACTCAACCCTAATCTACCCAGTCTTGAGCTGATTCCAATTTCTATCCGATCTTTGAGTCCTGAAATGTCAGTAGAGAAAAGGCAGTCGTATTGTTTGCTATCATCAAAACCATAATTCATGAAACCAAATCTGGAACAAAAGGGACATCTAGCACATAACTGCTGGCATCGACTAAACACCTTCATCAACCTCCTGTAACAACCACCACAAACTCTGCCTCCCATGCGATAGTTGTTGCGATAGACACAGAAAACCACGACTTGTATTTAAACTCAGGCACGTCGGCTCATCTCACTAACTCCGTTGACAATCTCTCCCAAGCTAAATCCTACAGTGGTACAGATAACATTACCATAGGTGATGGCAGATCTCTCTCCATTGCGCACTTAGGCAATGGAATTCTGCCAACACCGTATCGCAAGCTAAAACTGAACTCCTTATTTCATGTTTCATGCTTATCTCGTTATCTGCTGTCTATTTCTAACCTTACTCAAGATAATAATGTTTATGTGAATTTTTATCCTCATGGCTTTGACATCAAGGATATGACGATAAACAAAATCCTTCTGTCGGGTCTAAGTAGCTGAGGACTCTACCCGCTTAGATTGACCATCACGACTTCGTCCTCATCAAAGGTACTAACATTTACTTCTGAGGCCGCCACTCTCTGGCATCAGAGACTGGATCGTCCACATCCCAGAATTTTCAAAGCTGTCTCGGCTACTAATAAAAGGCTCCACATACCAAATACTTTTAATTTCTGTTAAGATTGTATGACCTCAAAAGGTCACAAACTACTGTTTTCAAATAAAACTCATAGAGCTACTATGCCTTTAGCTATTATTCATTCCGAAGTTTGAGGTCCATCTCTGGTTCCTTTGCATCAAGGTTTTCTTTATTACGTAGTATTTATCGACAATTTTTCCAATTTTTCGTGGGTTTTTTTGATGAGAAATAGGTCTGAAGTTTTTGATATCTTTTAGAACTTTAAAATTTTCAATGAAAAATAAACAAGATTTCATATACAATGTCTTCGTTCCGATGGTGGTACTGAGTACCTAAATTCAAACTTCATAAACTTCTTAATTCACAATGGCATATCGCACCAAACTTATTGTCCATATACACTTGAACATAATGGGTTGGCTGAACGCAATCACAGACACCTTGAAACCACACGAACACTGATTAACAGCGCCTCTATTCCTCACTCATTTTGTCCTGATGCGGTTCACATTGCATCCTTCATTATAAATCGGTTACCTACGGTCACAATGAACTTCCAATTTCCCATTTACCTTCTTTTCACAAAACTCCTGACTACAAATTTTTTAAAGTCTTCATTGTGCCTTTTATCCTTGGGTACCGCCAAATCAACGTCACAAACTCCAACCTCGATCTCGCACTTGTGTCTTTCTTGGTTATTCTCATGTTTCAAAAGGCTATAAGTGTTTAGATACTACAAGGAACAAAATCTATAAATCTAGGCATGTAATCTTTGATGAACTCATTTTCCCATTCAAACAAACTTCTCTCCCTCCTTCTCAAACTCCATCTCAGATACCTCCTTCTCTTCTTATTCTGGTATCTCAAACCTTACAGCAACCTACTACACTCAAACTGCCTGATCCAAATCCCAATTCTGGTAATCTAGATTCCCGACCCAGGCCTTCTGTTACTTCCAATACTCGAACTACACTCCCTACTCCCGGCATTTCAACCAATCGCTCTACACCTACGATTCCTGATTCTTCCACTCTACCCAACATCAGCATTCATCCTATTTCTAACAGGTCTACTCATCCTATGACCACCCGAACCAAAATAGGCTCACTAAATCCACTCAATGACTCAATCTTCTTCATATCCAAAACTCCTCTCAGTCCACTCCATTTCAAGAACCGACCACATACACTGAAGCCAATCAACATGTGCATTGGAGACGCGCCATGGCAGATGAATTCTATGCCTTGCAAAAACAGGGAACTTGGGATCTTGTTCCTCTTCATCAAAGTACTCCCGTTCTAGGTAGCCGTTGGACGTACCAAACTAAACACAAATCTGATGGAACCATCGCTCATTTCAAAGCTTGTCTTGTTGCTCAAGGCAACCACCAACAATATGGTTTAAATTACCTTGAAACTTTCAGTCCTGTGGCTAAATTTCAAACTATATAAATTTTATTAACTATTGCTATTTCTAATGCTTGGCCTGTGCATCAGCTAGACGTGATGAATGCATTCCTACACGGTAACATTTCTGAAATTATCTACATGAAACAGGCCAAAGGCTTTGAAGACGATCACCATCCTGACCACGTTTGCAAACTCAAGAAAGCCATCTATGGCCTCAAACAGGCTCCTCGCCAATGCTTTCAAACCTTTTCAAAATTTATTTCCTCTCTTGGATTCTCTTCGGGCAAAGCAGACTCATCTTTATTCACCCTTCATAAGGACAGCAGTCAGCTATACTTGATCATCAACGTTGATGATATACTTCTAACCGGCAATGATTCCTCTCTGATTGACACCGTAACTTCCCAGCTGCACCAACAATTTTCCATGAAAAATCTTAGTTTGGCCAACAACTTTCTGGGCATAAACATCAACACAATAGCAACCTCCTACATGCTAATATGCTAAGTCAATTTTGCAAACGGCTGGTATGACGATCTGTAAGCCATTAGCCAACACCTGCTGTACCAAGTACTCAAAATCCAGCATTCAATCGAACCTACCAACTGATCCAACGCTCTATAGATAGCTTACTGGCTCTTTACTTTACCTCACCATAACCAGACCAGATATATACTTAGTCGTTAATCTATTATGCCAACATATGCACGATTGTGATTCTCATCACTTTCATCTACTCCATCGCTTACTTCGCTATATAAAAGGCACCATTTCACTTGGTTTACCTATCTTGTAGTGTCCCATGGAACTACACTCGTACTCAGACGCTTACTGGGCCGGTGACAAAGACACCCGAAGATCTACTTCAGGCTACTGCACATTCCTAAGCAACACCCTTATCTCTTGGAGCATAAAGAAGCCGCACACCGTCGCTCGCTCGTCTACCGAAGTCGAATATTGATCGCTTGCTATAGCACTTGTTGATATTCTATGGCTCCGTCGTCTCTTACTCCACATTCCTCTTCAATCTCTCATAAAGTTACATTGCGACAGTACTTCAGCTATTACCTTAGCCAACAGTCTAGTCTTCCATGCCCATACAAAACATATCAAAATAAATCATCACTTCATCAAGGATCACATTCAATCTCAAACTGTTCAAATCTTTCTGATCTCAATGAAAGATCAAATTGCCGATATATTCACCAAATCGCTCTCTACACCACGCTATCACTATCTACGAGACAAGCTGATGGTTCAACTCAGTCCATCAGCTTAAGGGGGCATAATAACATGCACCTATTAAGGTACATGTACATGGTTTTACCTGTTATCTAGAATTCTTGCATTGTATTGTACCTCTTTGTAATAAGTCTATATATATATACCCTTATATCATATCTATTGAATAGATTGAATTATGTTTACTCAGCACTGTCTTTAGATTCAATTACTTTTTTTTATCCAACCAAAAGAATTTTAATTGCCTCATAATATTAATTTTTTTATAAATATGCTCGTTCTTTATTTTTTGGGAAAATAAATTTCGTCATAGAACAAAACAACCCTCATTTTGACCTCGAACTACTTATTTATTTCGTCCTGTACGATCTCATACTGAGAGTTTCGTCCAGGGACGAAGGTTCATTTCGTCTTGGATGATCTCATACAGAGAGTTTAGTCCCGGTACGAACCGTATTTTTTGTTTGGACGAACAGTGCAAGGTGAGAATCCAGAGACGTTCGTCCCGGGACGAATATTAAATTCATATTGAATGATTAGGACTTAAAAAATTTTCTACCCACCTCTTCGATCCATTGCTCTTCTGAGGGTTAATTGACATGATCGTCCCGTACGATCAGTTCACAAATATTGTTCCCCAAGAGTGTATGTTGTGATTTTTCACTCAATTACAATCACTCCCTCTCATTAAAAAACTTATAATTTACAAATGAATAATTTGAAGTTTTCATCGCTTGGAATTAATTTTCCTAAAATGTTAGTACACACTAGAGCAAAAAATAAATCTTCCAAAAAGTGTTAGGAGATATATAAAACAATAATATTTGAAATCATCAAAAAAATATAAGTTGCAAGAATGTAAAACATACAAATAGCAACTCTCTCTACAATCTTCCCTTTTTTGATGATGACAAAATAATTATTATTTGTAGGATTTCTAGTTCTAAGAATATCCTTAACTCCCCCTGAATTGATGAACTCATGAAAATAAGGAGGCATTTGAATTACTTAAAAAAAATTTGTTTTTCAAAATTTTTATACAACACAAAAGAAAAAATAATAAAAAAAAATCAAACACATACAAAAATCAAACACTAATAAAATATACGCAACAAATAATTTCTATCCCTTTTTTACAACATAAAAAAGTGAAGAAAAAAAGAATATTAGAAATGTAAGCAGAAGTATGAAATTCATTTGATATTTTAATCTTTAAAGTGATTGAAATAAGGTATGCAAATAAAATCAAAACATTAGAAAAATATAAGATTTCATATAATTTAAGAAGTGATATAACATAGAGAATAAAAAGAATTTATCAAAGGCATGTGTCAATAGACATGAAGATAAAGAAAATTATTGCACTAAGGATGAATAAAAAATTTTATATTTCAAATTTCAATGTCAATTATAAATGAACATAGATCAATTTGAATTAAGAGATTAAAAGAGTCTGGAAAGAAGTAATTATCACATGTGGCGCTTTGCGCATCTTTTTCAATTTTTATGGCACATTTTTGTGCATCTTTTTCAATTTTATGGCACATTTTTTGTGCATCTTTTTACTTTGGACTTATTTTATGCATCTTTTTGTCATTGCAATTTTTTTTGCACATTCCTTTTGATTTTTGTACATTTGTACAATTTTTCAAGAGTAATTGAATTCTTTCCAAAATCAATAATCTAAAATTTCAAATTTTTCTAAGTGCATAAATACTATTTGAAAAGAGAAATACAAAATAAGAAAACATCTAAATTGCAATAATAATATTAAAGATAATGTAGTCTAAATAAGAGACATGGAATTGAAAATTCTAATAATATCAAGTTATAAGCATATCTTAAATTTAAAAAAAAATTATATTTTCTAATGAAATTAATTTTAATTTACAAATTAAATAAAGCACTATTAAGATTTAAAAAAATGAATGTCATAAAGTCTAACATACATTTCTAAAACATTAAACAACAAACATTGGAACATATATTGATATCGAAAAAATGAGCCTCTAAATTGTCAAATCTTTGAACCAAATCCTGATAATTTGGTCCAGCAGCATGTGAAGGTTCAGCTTCTTCTGATTCACTCAGAACTACATGAGTTTTGCTGGGGTCGTCCTTATTGAAGATAGCCCTAAAGGATGGGTCATTGTAATAGAGTGGTTCTTAAAAGTCTTATTCTAGATGAATTAAATTATACTTCTTT